CCAGACTACACAGCGCAACAACCCAGAAGACAGAAATCTTCATACTAATCGCCCTGATGACGGAGGCAGTATGACCTCTGAAACGTTGGTTAACATCGACCAGACCACACAGTGCAACAACCCAGAAGACTGAAATCTTCAGTGTATAATACTTTGTTGTTGATCTGTTTCACAAATCATTAGTGTTTTCCGTATTGATAGTCTGATGTCTATACCTACACTTTGATTTGCCACAAGTAGCGATGTACTGTACAGTATTTTATTTTCACATTTATCTTACTGCAGACATAACCTGAAAGTTTCCTTATTTTTTTTTATTCCCTAGGAGTACCAGTGTTTGAGAAGTACTTTTGAGTGGGAGAATTTAATTTAATTTGTTTACATTATGGATAACACACAGTTTCATTATGCGTGAAGTAATTAAGATGATACACAAAATAAAAGATTGTGACTTTCAGTAGAATTTGTGATGTTCAAAATGTTTGTTTAGTTAGACTGAGTATTTGTGTTTTTAGTTATATTGTCACTGTCATATTCCAAGAGAACACTATTTCCAACTGGTAAGTTCATATTTTTGTAAACTTGAATTTTGTAATAAAAAATAAATTGATTATTGTGCTTGCACACATGCACATTGAGGGCATATTTTGTAATTAAATTATTTTAATAGGTTTGAAAGTTTTGTCAGTTCACTATTCTCTGGCTTTGGAAAATACTCTTCTACGTAAGCCACATAATTTAATTTTGTTTAAAGGAATATGATGTGCTTTCAGATGTTGAAGTATTTCATGGATTTAAAGGGGAAGATGCCAAATAAAATTATAAGGAAGGGATCTTTCAAGGAACAACATTTTGACACCAACTGCAATTTTTTATATCATGAAGTTGATAAAGTTACGGAAAGGGTGAGTATTCATCAGCGTGATTTCAGTAATGCTGTCTTACACAAGTTTCATGTTGGTGTGATTGTGGAGGTTTGGGAAATTTTATTCTTAACATATTTACCTGCGGTGATTGCCGGGTTTTGTTATCTTAACATGAAGTGAGTGTTGGTGAGATGTCTGTTTTTATACTCTGTGTAATTTCGATCCCACACATTCATTCTGTTCTACCATGTGGGAAATCAACCTCTGCTTAACAAGAGAAAATCTGATTGTTTAAAAAATTGAATTACTATGCTGAGGCTTCTGGATTAATACTAAATTTATGTCCTCTTTTTCTTCTTAAAAATGAATTATTATGATTATGAAAGTTCTTCAGCTGTTGTGTATGTAAGAATGGAGGCTTGTAATAAGACCAGTAAAGAAAAATTGTTGCTGAAGTTCATGCAGATGTATTGTCAGATATTTAAGATAAAAAACCATGCAATTCACAGACTGGTGGTAGTGTTATTGTTGAGATAGATTGATGGTACATGGAATGGTGACATAAAACTGGTGGTACTGAATTTTATGACAGTGACTTAGAGGAAGGAAATTGTATTTTTACTCATATCCCAAATTCTGTATAGAGTAAAGTGGGTCTGTGATGCAGTTGGATGATACATTCCTTGGAAAGGCAGGGATTAGTATAGTACCTGATAAATTAGAAAGTGGACCATTATCATGGCAGGCCCTTGTAATGAAATGTTGGGAATTTTTTGAGTGGCTGAGTGACTGTTGGCTTCTCAGGAAGGACTTAAGTAAGTACCAGTATCATCAGTCTGTATGTTGGTGGTGACGTACTTTCAAATTTTTACAGAATGGTTAAATCTGTGCCACAAATGAAACTATAAAATGAAAACTTGTCTGGAAACACTGAAGTGGCAATCTGACTGGTGTAAGATTTGTGTTGCCAAAAAGAAGAAGTGAAACGTGTTTTGTGTTTTTAGAGCTGTCTCTTTCAAAAACATTACTACGTAATCATCCATTGCTCCTCAAGACTGAAAATAAAAGCATACTTTAATCATTTATGTGCTGTATTTTTAAATTTTGCTCTAATATCCTGTGCTAAATATTTTTTCTCCTTTAGGTATTTTGTTAGAGGGAAGAAATTGCATAATTATGAGCTTCACAGCCTGTGCTCCTCACCTGATATTGTTAGGGCGATTAAATCGAGGAGGATGATGTGGACAGGACATGCAGCATGCATGGTGGTGGGGAGGGGTGTTTACCAGGTATTGGTTGGGAGGCCTGAAGGGAGGAGACTGCTGGGAAGACCTAGGTGTAGGTGGAGGATAACATTAAGATGGACCTTAGGAAGATAGAAATCAATGCAGCTGGCTCAGGATAGTCTGGTGGTGGGATTTTGTCAACATGGTGATGAACTTTCAGGTTCCATAAAGAATGTGGGCTATTCTTTGATAAGCTGAGTATACAATCAGGTTTTCAAAAAAATATCTTGCAACGTAGAGTGAGTGAGTAGGTATTTAGTTTGATTTTAATGCATTGATGGGGAGTGTAGTACTGTTGGCTTCTTGAAATTGATTTTTAGTTGCTATATTTTTAATCTAAATATTATTATAATGGTGAAGTGTGGAGTTTTCTTTGTGGTATAGACTGCTTATTTAGATGTGCTTTGGCTTCAAATGGTTAAATTATGCTATGTGTAAAGAGGTTAATGAAGAGGACATGTTTCCTCAGAAGAAGATGCAGAGTGCAAGTGAAATACCTTATTTAATGAGAGATTGAAATGAGGAACTGATGCCAGCAATGTGTGTGCTTTGCTTCTCAGAATCTTGAAAACTATAAGGAGGAATCTCAAAGTGATAAAGGCCACTAGAGACGGTGCTGCCGTCTTTCTTAATTGTACATATTTTGTGTATAATTTAGTTGATTAAGTCATTTTATCTTCTGTCTTGCACAAGAATACATGGGAGTACCTATTTATAATATTCACACAATATGGGAAGTTTTCATTGTCTGTGCATATACTTTGCAAAATTTGAATAATAACCACAGAAGACCATAAATACATAGGTGACAGTGTGAATTATACTTTTCTATAATTTTCATTGTTATAATTAAATTTGTGACCTATTAGAATGTCTTGTAACGATATGCTGTATTTGGCATTTTCCATGATTCAAGCTCAAATGCTGCAAAACATAAAGTGTTATTGTTGCAGGAAAAAGTAGTAGTTATGTCAACATTGAACCCATCCCGAGATCTGCTGTCTGAACTGGTTGGCAACCAGAACCTTCCAGAGGATCAAGCCAGGAAAGTCAATCAGCTCAAGGACCTTTTGGAGAGAATTCTGATGTTGGACTCCTCAAAACGCGTTGCAATCAACCAGGCCCTGACGCACGCCTTCATCCAGGAGAAGATATGAGCTGCTGACTTTTGAGATCAAGGGGTTAAAGTTATTGAGAGAGGTAACTAGTGGTCTCAGGAGTGCCTCCAGCGGGGAAGTGTTGCTAAGCTAGTTCATAAGATGTTGCGTGGTCTTAACATACTTTATGCTCTTTGATACTTGGTAGAGAAGTGGGGCCACAACATTTATTTTATTCAAACTTAATTTGCTGTAAAACTTTGAAATATTTAATTCACAAGCAAAAAGCAGTGAAATATGAGACTTTATTTTATATCATAATATAAATTATGACATAAGTCATGGTTTGCATTTAAAGAAGTGGAACCCTGAGGTACACTCTGTACGTAATGTCATTAGTGAGTACAAGCGGGACAATATCTGATCTTCATGTAATTTTACTATTTAATTTTCTGGTCTTGTTTAAGATGAGAAATGAATACATTAAGTTTATTGATACTTATGTGTGAATGTTATTCCGCACTATATTTGATTTATTTAATGATGAAAAATGATAGTAAAAGCTATAAAAAATAATTTGTTTAGTAATTTCTTTGTCAAGTGTCCATTATTTTAAAATAATAAATAGTAATATCCTTGGAACATTTTAGATCTCTTTTAATACCATTAGTTTACCTTCTGAACAGCCAAAATGTGTAATGAGATAATGTGGTAGGAGGAAGGGAAAGTTGAATGACTGATGTGGGAAAACATGTAAGTTGTGAAAGCAGTGACTGAAGGGATTATTAGTCCACTTTTACATCAAGGACACCCACTGCACTGTATTGTTTAAAATGTTGCTATGCTGGCAAGACATTCAGGAGCAGTTGTTATATTCTGGTCTGAATATAACAAGTTCGTGTTGTGACATGTTTTGTTTCATACTTCCATTTTGTTACTCATCCAAGAAATGTCAATACTTGAATATTCTTCATTGGGTTTTTAAAGAGTAGTGGGAATTTCCAGCACATTTATCCTGAGTATCCTTACACCCATTCCTTCTGTTCCAGTAGATCTACTGTAAAATAGGGGTAATGTCTGTGATGGATTAGCCTTAAGCATATAAATGGATTAAAATAAGTCACTGATGTTTTTTAATGTAATAAAGCATGATTAAGCATATGAATCAGAACTATATTTTTAGGCATAGTATACATTTTCTATTCTGTAGCTTCTGTTAGAAGTTCATTTAACACTTTCACATCTTTTCAGTAAATTACTGTAATGTATTTTGTTTGCTCAAGTAACAATTGCATGGACAGTTTATTATTTCTTACAGCATTAGTTCTTAGTTTTAAGAAACATACTTCTACATTCTTTTGTATCATTTACTTGTACACACAGATGTTTATATGTTAGTACGTAAGGGATCATATCTTTCCTTCCGTGAAGTCGGAGTATTTGGCAAATTGTGGGCAGTCTTCATGCCCATGAAAATATAGGTTTTGAAAGGGATTTTGTATGTTTTAACTGAAGGGTGAATTCGAGATTTTCTAAAATTTTCAGGAACTTGCAGGTCGTGTCTAGTCAAATCCTTTACAGTTTAGTGTTGCATTGTAGGCATGTGGATCAAACATTGTGGACTTTGTGCCTTGAAAAGAAAATACTGAACTAACTGATGTTCCATGACTGTTAGATAAATGAAGCAGTGCTCATACCCCATCTGTCCTTACTGTAGTCCTTCTGTATGGCATAGGTTTACTATGATAGATAAAATTGTTAGCAATGGAGTTCTAATTTTATGCCTGACTTCAGCATACGAGTATGAAAGGATTTATATCTATGTTCTGTTTGGTAATTGCAGAAATGTGGATGACATTTAAATTAAAACAAATAATGTACCTAAAATATAAATTTTTATATTTACTTATGGAAACTGAAAAAGGAAAAAAGTATTTCAAGCACTGTTAATGTGAGTGCTCAATACTGAAAGACTAGTAAGCTATTCTTAAATTGTTTTGTATCATGGACTACTTTCTGCATTTAATTTTTTTGTGGCAGATTTTAATGTGTGTATTTTTTGCAAGACTTTGGTTACACACTGATCATAAAGTATAATATATAAATGTAGCAATGTTAAATGGAGACAGATGCATGTAGCAGATCTTCATTTTCAGTGATTCCAGTGATAGTACATCTTAAGCTTCAGGAAATTTTATTTTTTGTAAATCAACCATTAAAAAAGCAGTTTACAAAATCCAATGGGTGGTCAAAGGTCATCATAATATTTAGTGTCACACCAAACTCCATTGCCACATCCATAAACAACTTTTTTGGCATGGTATATAAGCTAAGGGATAACTGTATTTTTATCCTTTGTGATGTAGGTACATCGATGTATTCCATAGATTCTATTAAGCGGGTTGAACAAGTCAGAGTGTAATACATCACACACAAAATATTGAAAATACAACATGAATGCAGAGACATCTTAAGAACAAAATATACTATAATAGACTTTATCACATACATAATTATACAATTAATAATTTCTTTGGAATTGTAGTGTCCCATGGCATGAAGTCATTTCTTCACCTGTATTCATGCGAGACTGTTACAAGTCAAAAATAAAGCGTAATAATGTTGCACATTCTCAGTATTCAATGAGTTATGGACATTCGAAATTGTTGATGATAATAGCATAAAAAGCAAGTTTATTGTGTACTGTTTCATAATTTTTATTGAAGCTGTAAATTATTACACAAATTAAAAAAAATCAAAGTGGCCACTGCCTTCTCTTAAGCAAGTTTACTGTTTTACAGTTTTTATTGAAGCGTTAACTTATTGCAATAATTGCTCAGAGTTTCTACCACCTCTTGGTCCTTGCTCTGTTCAAGAGAAGCATTTCCTTTGGAAAGCATAATTTTTTAACTGCACTGTGTCACAGGTCTGGTCTGGTCTGTGGCTGTGCTACTTTTTCTGATTTCATTTTGTTCCGTTCCTCATGACTGTTTCGTCATTGGTAAACAAAAGTCAAGGAATAGGCCAATCATTTTGAATGATTCTGTCTCAAAATTTTCAGGTTGAAGGTCTTGAACAAGAGCACACTACATATGTAGTTTCTTTCCTTATATATACACATGTACACATATATACAAACACAGAACTGTGTACAAATTAGTTAGGTACATGACTGCAGTCTGGTAATCATTTCATAGTAATATAAATTCATCAATTTTAATATATATTTCTGCATCTTCTGGACACCTTCCATGATTCTAATATCTTACTTCTGTACAAGGAATATTTTATTACTGTGTGATGAGTTGCCCAGAATATTATAAAGTATGTGATAATTGATTAAAAGTATGAAAAGTGCACTTTTTAACATTTATTATCTAGAAGTATCTGGGACTTAATGAAACATGTCTTATTTAATTTTGGCAAAACAAGTTTAAAATTTTTAAGTGTAGGTAATCATCAGTTTGTTGTGTGACCTCTTGAACTGTAGAAAATTTCAAGCCTTTATTATTTGATTAGACATTGTTTACCATTCTGTCACATCATGACATTCTTCAGTTAAATGATTTTACCAGAGTAGTGTTCAAAAACATATTTAAACATCCTAAGCATAAGAAATTTTGGTGTATTTTCCATAATTTTTCTTTGCAATTACACTCTCTTTTCTGCATATTATAATATTGTAGTTGATCAAGCAATTTCCTGTTTCATATTATAATGTTTTATTATTACCAATGGCATTATCTGCTTGGAGCCATTGTAGCTGTCAGTATACTGTCTGACAACAAACTGGATGACTGGAGTTTAATCCCTTACAGGTTAAAGTATGTTTCTTCTAGCCTCAGTATCTAGACTGGCTCTGGTTCCCACACAAGCTCCTTTCGAATGGGTACTGGGGATCTTTCCCTGGGATAAAGTGCATTCTGACCACTTGCCGTCATCTGGCACTGAGCTCAAGAAAGAGTAGGAGCTATACCTGCTCTCCCCCTCAAGTGCTTTAATGACGTGGTGGGGCATCCTGGCTAATACAGTTCACTATTTTTCTATAATGGCATGTTTTGGACAGTATTTTTTGCCTACAAGTTATTTTTCTGTTTATAGTAGATAGTATTATATTAGTTTAAAATTGTGTTTATCATATCTAAATATTTACTGAGATGTGGAAGGAATGCAAAAGCAATATGGGAGAAGGAGAAGGTGGTAAATACAGAAGGGATAAAGGACATGAACAAATCAGTCCTTGTTGAATTTAAGAGCCTTTCTACACTAGTTGAAATATATCCTTGTATTAGACGTCTTATGTGTTCAGAATGCTGCCATTTGAAAGAAGTCCATGAACCCGTTTAAGAATTGCTACACTGTTTTTGTATTTAGAAAGGGTTTCTTAATTACAGTGCATTCAGAATTTCCCTGAGTTTTAACCTGAACCCTTGCCTTAGGTTTTCCAATTCCACATTCTTTCCACCGTGACCATCTTATACACCAGACTGAATCCTGTTCACCAATGTTGTTGACAAAAGTGACACAAAATTGTTACTGTGGCAATTCTTGTTCCAGAATACAGGCCGAGCAGCCATGCCCATGTCTTCTCATGGCTGAGTGTGCTGTTACGTCAGCCCAGATGTTACAATTGCTGTTTAAAGGTATTGCTGTTACGAACTGGAAGGGTACCACTATAGGTTTTGAATTTGTCCTGTAGCTTAGTGCAAATAAATGTTTGCAGTTTGTATGTTAGAAAGTTGAGATGAGAAAGCAGTCCTCTGTCAGATTCTCCTTTCCTGATGAATTCTGCTTGTAATTTTATACAATATTTATATTTGCAGGCTGTACAAGTCAACTGTCAACAGATGTGTAATGTATCGGAAAAGATATGGCATTTTTCAATGGTATCATGGGGAATTACATTTTTCCATTTTTATGAATTTGCAACACTAGAAATGAATTTATCAGAAAGAACTGAATAATAGGAACTATTGGTACATTGTACAGTCGGTCACATTTATAGCGATTACTTGTTATTTGTAAGACTTGAGGTTCTCACAGCGGTGAATATGAAGATTTCTGTCTTCTGGGTTATTGCGCTGTGTAGTCTGGTCGATGTTAACCAACGTTTCAGAGGTCATACTGCCTCCGTCATCAGGGCGATCATCGCCCTGATGACGGAGGCAGTATGACCTCTGAAACGTTGGTTAACATCGACCAGACTACACAGCGCAATAACCCAGAAGACAGAAATCTACTTGTTATTTATTTAACTCTGCAAGTTAAAGCCATTTCATTCAGAGGAAGTAGTTATGTAAAAAATTATAGTCACATGTACTTGTATCATAAAATGTGTCAACCTTTAAAAAGTTACTTTCGTCTTTAAAAGTACTGATTGGTGCTGTTTGTGGGCTTAGGTTTTATACTATTTTAATTATTTTTCTTCTTTTACCCATACTTCTTAAACATCAAAGGGTATTTATTACTAATTGTACATTCTGAAAGTGGAATTCTTGTTTTTCTCTGTGAGACCATTGGTACAAATGAAATTTATCTTTTTGTTCTTTTGTTCATCAAGTATCAAAAGATTTTCAGTTTAAACTGTAATGTTCTCATTTTGTTTTAATGCATTTCTTTTATAAGTTACTAGCAAAAATTTAAGACTGGATGAACATGAGAATGTTTACTGTATATGTCTGTGGTCTGTGTGCAAGGATACTGTCTAATTTACACTTTCTTTTCTAGCAAAACGGCCTCTTCCTAACGGAGGTGCTTTGAAAATCATTTGGACTATTTGGCAACAGTGGAATAGCATTTTCAAGGTATACTTCTGTCAGTATCCTCTATTTTAATTTTTGTTTTCTTACTTCTGTATTTTGTTGGTTTTGTTATAAAGTCAGGTAAGTTCCAAGTAAAGAGGTAAGATTGCTGATTGTGATTACATTTTTAGGGTCTTACAACACCATTCATTTTGATAAGGATAATAAGTCTTACGATGTTTGTTAATGTATGTGTTTGCTGTATTTATTCTGGTGAGACCATTTTGAACTCTGTGTGCATCCTGTATGCATGCAGTGTATCTAATATACCAGAAAGAAAAAAATATTCCTGTAGTACCCTTTTCTTCCAGTTGTTTTTGAAGGATGCTACTTACAAAGTGTTACAGCCAGGTTTAGTATTTTGCTTTTCATAGTAGATGACTTTGAGAGTGGTCATGCCAGAAGTTGGATTTCACTGAAACATTTAGTGTATTTTCCACTAATAGAATGAAGGTATATGAGGGGCAGTCAAAAAGTTCCCAGAATTGTGGTATAGCACTGTAATGGTAGGACATATGACAACGCTTACCTAATCACCTTCAAAGTAGGACCCTTGCGCACACACACACTTGCTCCATCAATCCTGCCATTGTTGGAAGCACCGGCGGAAGGCTTCGTTTGGAATCTTCCGGAGCTTGGCCGTCACATTCGATTTGATGTCCTCCATGGTTGCAAAACGCGTCCCCGTGAGGCCCATTTTCAGAGTAGAGAACACCCAGAAGTCAGTCGGAGCGAGATCCGGAGAGTATGGTAGTTGGGTGATGACGGGAATGCTTTTCTCGGCGAGGAATTTCTGCACAATCAGCGATGTGTCGAATGCGACAGCCGAACTCTGGAAGATTCCAAACGAAACCTTCTGCTGGTGCTTCCAACAATGGCAGGATCGATGGAGCAAGTGTGTGTGTGCGCAAGGGTCCTACTTTGAAGGTGATTAGGTAAGCGTTGCCATATGTCCTACCATTACAGTGCTATACCACAATTCCAGGAACTTTTTGACTGCCCTATGTATATTGAACCTGTTCTGCCTTCTTCAGACAACACTTCCATCTCATTTCTTTTCTTTATGTAGGTTGCTTTCAGCATACATTCAACTTTTTATATGAAAGATTCAAAATGCTGTCGGTGTTATGCCATTTTATTTGTAGTATGAACAGTCATTTCATCTTTGGGGCCCCCTCACACACACACACACACACATAAAAGTAACTTGAAAAAATTGTCAGTATTTGGAGAATTCTCAAATTGTAGTTTATTTAGGTTATACATAAATCAGACAGTGGTCACAAACATCAATATAACATGTTCTGTTTGGTTGCAGAAACAGCTGGCAATCACATTAGTGGGTCACAGTATGTGATAAGTTTCTGATAGGTGTAGCCTTAGCCTTTGCCTTCAGTAGGAGCAGGTTCTTTGCTGTATATTTATTAATTATTAGATGCAAAATATGGAACATACATACATACATTGTTACGACATTCTACAGCGAGTATTTCGTCAGCGCGGACTCACTTGGAAGGTAAATTCTGCTCGGGCTACCAGCCGTGTAAGGTGGCTTAATGAAGAAAACACCAGTGTTTCGAGACCCGTCTTTGTTCTTTTCCTCGGGGTACCTTACATGGCTGGTAACCCAAGAAGAATTTATTGTACTTTGTCTCCATGAAAGCTTCAGATTATACATCACTTGGAAGAGTTTATTGGATTCCTCTTATCAAGAGCAAAAAAAGATAATGGTGAATATGTAGCAGTCCTAATTGTCTAGTTAAACCTTGCAAGTTGATAAATTCTTTTTCTTCTTATGACAGTGTGTAGGTATTTGCATGCATGATCACTTACATTTATTATTGTTGATGGTAAATTGCTTCTAGCTAATGCATTTTTGAGTGTTGCAGATCTTCTGGAAACAATTCTGTGAAGATTGAAGATGCTTTACACTGATGTTTTGTTATAATTCTTCATGCAAAACAATAAATAATTTCTTTGTACAGTGTTCTCTTCTTCAGTTACTCATACTATAGTTTAACTCAGGTTTTACTGACCTTTGGGTTTCATAACATGGACTTATTTTGATAGTAACTTAAACCATGGTGCATAGTCCTTGAGAAACTGATAGTTCCGTAGGTGGTCTGTAAAGCCCATGCCATTGTGGAACTCTTAAGGTTCATTGCTATGCTTGTAAGAGCATGTCATTAGATCCTCTCCTCAGCCAGCTAAATCCAGTCCCTCAAATTCAATTTCCTTAAAAAACATTTCAATACTATACTGGTATCTGTGCTCAGGTTTCCAAATTTGTCTCTTTCTGTGGCAGGTTTTCCAACCAAAATGTGTATGAATTTCTTATCTCTCATATGCAACTTGCTCTACCAATCTCATGCTTGATATGGTCTCCCTGATATTTAGTGAAGAGTACAAATTGTGAAGTTCCTCATGTATTTTTTCTATCTGTGGCATCAAGTTGTCATGTCTACAGCCTTGTTTATTTGTCCCTTGGATTGAGACCAATTGAGGGAAATTTTTATAGTTTAATCTGTACATCTTTGGATAAGAGATGGGAAGACAAAATTCCAAACTGAATGTTGGCAAGCATTCCTAAAATTTCTTGATGGATGTAATTTTGATTTGTTGCTGTTGTTTCCAAATACTTAAACTCTGTCACTGTTTTATTTACCTTCTTTTATGATTTTTTGTATTCTGATGATGATGCGAACATAGTTTCCTGTGCATTTACTTCTAGCCAAACCTACTTATGACAGTACATTCATGGATAAAGTTGAATGCAATTGTCACTTCAGGTAGGAACTGAAAAAAGGGTAAGGTGATTTTGTTTATGTGGAGTGATACTTCACTCATATTAGGAGAACCTTGTAGTGCTTGGCAGTGAGTCATTCATCGTCAGTTGGGATCAAGGAAGTGGCATTTGCCTTAACAACTTCATTAGCACTATAATATCTAATACAGCTTTTAAAGATTGCTTTAGCTAAATGGTATTTATGGTTTTCATAATAAATTATCAACATCAACCAGAAGCTGATGTAACCCATTCAGCTCCAGTTACTGCTGACTTTCTTGGGCCTTTCTAATGGCATATTCTACAAGATGGTGATGAAGCAAACATCTCTTCTTCAGATCTATTGTTTTAAAGTTTTGTAATCACCTCTGTCAAGTGCAGAAGTCAAGAAAGACTGGAGTTACACCTCCAATTCTCTAAATATCTTCATGATGTGGTACTTAATTAGTACAGGGTATTTAATTTAAAATGCAACCTGAAGTACTACACATGAACCCTATCGCACAAAATGAAACTAGTGAAATACTGAATCCTTGCAGCTGATTGCTTCTTGAAATTGGCATGGCTGTAATTTAGTTGTTTCGTTATTCCTTGAGCACTTGTCACCGATTCTTCCTGTGTCATGAAATTTTGTTAGCAGTTGGTGTATTGTCTCGTGTGGTACTTGTCAGGATACGTATTGTTAAATTCTTCACGAACATCAGCAGATGATCTCAGTGTGAGGTAATGTTCAAGAATGGACATACGTTCTGCTATGAAGACATCGTGTTTGTGTCTGCACAGCATGGCCAGGGTGACCTTGACGAGTGTTACGATAAAAGTTAGTATTACATGGGGATGGACCTACTTCATAATTTCATGTTTGTACTGTAGTACATGATCGTTGCATTGCATTTTAAATTATACATCGTGTACGTGGGATAGTTTTACCTTGTAAATACAGGTACCATCATTATGATGCTGTATTCTTTGGGTATGAAAATAAAAATTAAAGATCTGAAGTTTTCACAATTTGGGTTTAGGCTGTTTGTGGTCTTCTGAGTTATGACACCATGTAGTCTTGGTGGTTATCGGTGTTTTTAAGGAACATTTGGTGTAAAACTACTCAAATCTTCGTACAGTATATTTAATAAAGATTCTGTTCTTCTCAGTTGGAACATCGTGTGTTTTGGCTGTATGCCAACTCTTGGAGGAACATACTATGTCTGTCTGCAACCCAAAATACCACCATATGCATATTGCTGTGAAAACCTCAAATCCTACATTTTTAATCTTCTTCAATGAAAATTTCTTTGAGTTTATAACCAGAAGGGTGCATCTTCATGAAGTTTTGTATATGCTAAAAGAGAGATAAATTTGATATTTTTTACATCCATCTGATACTTTTATAACTCAAAATTTTTATGAAGATTAAATCAGGTTTCACAGCTTTCTCAAAAGAATTCATACAAAAGATTGGTGAAAAATATAGGCCTTTCTAAACTACAGAACCTTTTTAATACTTGTTTTCATGACTGCATTCTAGTTCACATACATTTTTAAACACCGTTGGATACAGCCAATATCAATACAATACTAATGTACCAGTTAATGTTAAATACAGTCCTGCACAAAGATAAACACAGAAACGTGACATCAACAAGTTCAAAAACCATTAAAATATACAAATCATAAATTTACATAAGATGAAGAATGAACCATCTTAGTACAACAAAGATGAAAATATTTTATTTCAGTAATAGTCAAAGATAATCTTTGCTTAATTGCGGAATGTGAGCATTGCTACCGATTAAACTAGGTAGAACTTTTTTTATGCTATTATTGCTCAAAACCTATTTTGTTCAGCTTGAAGTTGAATTTAAAATAAATTTAAATTCTAGCAATTTAAATGGTACTGTGATTCAGCAAATCATATGCAAGAAATACCACACTAATACTGATAGAACTATAGAAATGGTTGTAGATATATTTAAAGAAAAATAAAGTTGTAAAGTACTGGCCCTGGAAATATAAATGACTTGCAGAATTAATTAGAACTTACATTTGTATCATGTTTGCTTAAAAGTAATGTGCACCCCAATTTTGGAAACCACTTAAGAATATATTATTCTTTTTCTGTCTTGGAATAACTGGTAATTTTAGTTAGTGAGTTATTTGGTATGAAGATTCAAAGAAATTAATTTTACTGCCATACTAGATGTTTGTTTTAGTGATATAATTTTGTATTATTTATGCAATTACTACACAGTTTTGCTTGTCCTGAGCTAACCAAGGTCAGCACTGAACAACTTTAATCTCTTTCTGGATAATGCTGTTTGATGATCGTGACTAACTGGTCAGCTAAATCCTGTGAACAGGCACATAAGTAGCGGCGACTCAGCACATCAAAAGGCCCACCTGCAACAAGAACCTTTCAAAGTTTTGTTACCATATTAAAATACAGTATGTGATTCAATGATGGAATGCACAGTCACATTTAAAATTATCTTTTTTTTCCCCTTGAAACCTAACAGCATTACAATTATTCAGCAGTAACAGTTTACACACACAAAAAAATTGTGTACATGAACACAAGTGCACACGTGCAGCAAAGTATACTATATATACTAAAATAAAAATAATGTTTTAAAAATTATTGTAAAAAATAATTATGGTCAGGGCTTAAAAAATACAAGTACTTGTTCACCTGATATGTACAATGTGAAATAGACATTTTAAGACATTTATATTAATGGATTATAAGCACGACTTTCTGTAGGATGCAAGACTGTCTTTGAGAAACAAAACAGATTTGGTAACAAGAATTGGGGGAGGGGAGAATTTTTAATAAAATTTATTTATTTTAGTTTTTATTATACAAAGGTTAGTAGAAACAGAAGGTTCCACCAGCTTTTCATAGGGCATAACTTGTATTGTGAAAAACAGCGTATAGATGGCAGGTGACCAGTTTTTAATTTGATATTGTATTATGCACCTGCAGGATCAATGACTACTCCTCCAGCCTCAGTTACTATGAGATATCCAGCTGCTATATCCCATGCATGAATTCCATATTCAAAGTTTGCATCTGTTCCACCGAGAGCAACCATTGCCATATTCTGTGCACAAGAACCTGTTGAACGGACCCTGGAATGGGAACACACAAAATTAATATATAAAACCTGTAAAATTAGCAATTGCTAAGACTGTATTGACATGAAAATCTTTAAGAAATGGTAATCCAATATACGATGATGTTGCATCACATTGCTGAGGCCGTGTATGTCAAGAGACGGGTGGCGGTAACAATGTTTGGTTGGGAGGATGAGGAAAATTTTCAGACAATATCGTCCACTTCAATCTTTAACATGGTGGAGCTTAAAAGGGACCAGTATTGATGGTAATCATTGTCACCAGAGTTCCATGTTCTAGGCCTAGTGACTTGTTATGGTCTTGTGCCGGTGTTCATAGGGTATTCCTGAAGATCTTTGTCCCTTTTGGATGGTACTTGTAATGGAAAATTTGGAATAGAATTCTTCAGTGGGAGACAGGATTTTCCCCAGTTAAGTCTGTAAATTTCAATGAAGTTCATGTTTGGTTGTGTGCATTTGATTCCATGGCGTAACAGCTCCAGAGAGCCAAAGCCGACTAGCTGACTGCTGGCTTCACGTTCACATGCCTAAGCAGAGGTGAACGATCATCCAACCAGATATAGGGTGACGTGTGGTCAGCACGACGAACCCCCAGCCATTGCTAGTTTCGATGACCGGATTACGCTACTTATTGTAGCTCCCCAATTTCCTCATGATGCTGGGTTGGCACCAGTCCCATACACTGGTCGAAAGCTCATGAGAAAATTTCTTTTCCCCCGAGACTCGAACCAGCGCCCATTCTATATCGCTGGTCCGAAGCATGGGTGCATTTGATTCATTATGCCTAATTTTCTTTCATAATCAGAACAAGTACAGCCTTTGAATTTAATTTATGCTGCTTTGCATGTAGTCCAAGTGTCACTGTCTAAGTCAACATGAATCATGCCGACACCTTGTAAACTCTAATTTTTATATGTTTCTGATGGTAAAATCATGCAAAATAACAGCTGTTCGAAGAATCAGCGTACAGTCCATGGGAAAAACAAAGGGTATCATGATGGAATGGTAAAGAAAAGTGTTCCAATTTTCCTACTTTGTTTTTTTCATGAAATGTCTTATCATCACAAAATCTGAAAGGATATCCATAGTTTCCACAGTTGGAATGTTAAGAATAAAAAAATACTTAACATTTTCACGATTCTACGTTAAACTGCATGGGAGATAAAATTATATTATGACTAGTACTTTCAAAAGAAGATTAAGAAATGTAAACAGGTGTTTTTGGTACTAAAACATTTACGGAAGGTGTATTTTAATTTTCTTATTGCTCCAGCCTGTTTCAGCCTGCGTGTCTATTCGTAGCAGTTATCTGAGTAATTAATTATCTTTGCAGGTTAAGTCACTTAGTTAATAAATAAGATCTGAAGAAGTTAGTATCCAGTGGCAGCACAGCAAATTGTGGGGCCAAGGGTAAAACTGATTCGTGAGGCCCGTTAAGAAAACATTACAATTATTATAATTTTACAAATTGAAAACTACTGAAAACTTTCCCAATTCTATCTTTATTGTTGTCAGTCTCAGATTAAAGTACAGGCATAAGGAAAACTATGGCAACAGTGTAAGGAGAAGAGGTATTTCTGATCCAAGTACAGACATGAGGCCCTGCGCTGTCGCCCACTTCACCAACCCCCTTAGTCCCCCTACCAACTGTTTGCCCAGCTATATGACATGCTACAGTTGCGTTATAAATAACGTATATTGGAAGCGTACCCTGCTTGTAGAACTGATAATTTAAATGTAATTATTTATTCTAATTATGGCTCAAGAAGCAGAAATTAAATTGACACAACACTTCATAAGATTCACTCATACTCGTGCAGTATGCCTAACATATCTTTATGCCACCAAATTTCATTTAGTTGCCCATGGTAAGTGGACAAATGTATTTCTGGAGCTTTGATTTCAAGAGTGCCGATACTGTTTAACTTGGGTGTCATATAATTAAAAAATGTTTTAACTACCAACAGATAGGATTTGAGACTTTTGCGGCGAGTACAATCAATAAAATCTTCTTGGGCAATCGGCTGCATCAACTGGTTACCGTAGTTTACTACAGTAACCAGTTGACGTGGCTGATTGCCCGAGAAGATTTTATTGATATTCTAACGTACGTATTAATCTTGAACCTATGTACTATTCTTTAAAAGGCACACAAGCTGGCCTTGGAACTAACCAATAGGATAGAATTTGACAAAAAATCTCAAGTTAAATTTTAGGTGTTCATTACAACTTACCCATGAACTAGTGGCGTAAGTATATTCATGTTTTCCATTACCACTTTCATTTTCTCTGGATCACGACTTGTTCCAAATTCATATCCTATCAGCGACTTTGATAAATCTAGAACAGAAAATAATATATTGAATACAAAAATTAACAGTTCTTCTCTGCTACTGTTAAATTATTGATCTTAAATATAAGTACAATAAAGAAACTATTTGACACTAGTAAGGAGGTTGGTAGTTGTCGATTTAAGGTACTATGCCAGCAATTTTCGGAGGGACTAAGAAAAATGGCAAAAGATTTAGTCGAAACCACTCTCGAGGCTCAGATTCAATCCTTTGCATTTCAGATATGAATAGTGCAAACCACTATGACGTGATCAAAAAATTTCCAGACTGCCTGCATTGCAGTCTACCATAGTAGTGTTCCTGTAAAAGATACTGGTAGAATACAGTATGCTGAATTATTTACCATTAATTTCAAATCCATCAGATATGTCATTAAGGAAACAATGCAATGGAAATGTATAGTGTTAATGTTATTGAAAACTTTAAAAATAGCTGTGATATGTGGGAACAATGGCTAGGACTCACAACATTTGTACAGGTTTGAATTTCACATATGAAATGACTTCAAGTATGTAATAGAAGTAAAGCTGTCCACTACATGCCATGTAGGTGGTCAGCATCATGCCCCAGCCGCACTTTACTCATGGGGAAAGGACTCTGGTACCCATTGGACAGGAAGCTGAGTGGACCCCAGAGCCCGTCTGGATGCAGAGGTTAGAGGAAAAATCTCCTGCCCATCAGAGATCGAACCAGTCATTCAGTCTGTAGTCAGTCACTATACTGACTGAGCTACCCCAGCTCATCTTAAGATGTGCAGGGAATTGTTTTTTGATAGTCAAAGAAATCTGCATCACAAGTTTTTTCACAGGGGCAAAGAATGAATGAACCATTTTTATACATGTCCCATGGTGTTTATGGGAAGTTGTATGTTGAAAATGTCCTGAGAAATGGTACACTGGAGATTTGTTTCTCCACCACACAATAATCCTGCTTGTTCTCCTTGGTATTTGTAGGGATTTCTGATCAGAAACTGCATGATTCTTATCTGTTCACTATTTGTGGTCATATGTCTGTTTCAAAACTGAAGTTGGCACTCAAGAGTAAGAGATGTGATGATATCATAATGGTAAAATTCAGTGTACATTATATGAAGAAGTAATGGCAGGCTGTACACAACAAGTGAAATAAAGCATTTTGTAAGAGGTTTATTATAACTGCCAAATAGTATGATGTTCAGAACAAAACTACTCATTTCAGCTCACTAAGAACTCATAAGGTTTATGAGCTACACAGAACTTGGAAGAATTACTCCAAGTTTTACATCAGTCATTTCCAAATTATTTTGAAATTTATATTTTCATAGTGATCTTACTTGCAAATGTCAAATACTGTGATCATAGCCTGTGATAGCATTTGACTTTATGTTTTTTATGGATTTGTTAATAAAATGAAGGTAATATATTGTCGTGATAATTACTATTTGCTACATGTGGCAATAAAGTTAAAATACATCCTGTGAGTACACACACACATTTTTAAATTTTTAGTTGGTGTAGGATATTTTTGACAGGAAAAGTTACCTTCATCTATGCAATTCAAATAACAACATTTTTTCCGAAACTATTATCTAACCATTTTCTTGTGAAACATGTATTGGTTTTCCATTTAGAAAAGCTCCCTGTCCTCGGCGTGCCGAGAAGAAAAGTTCTAAAACTGGATTATATATAATGCCAATCTCAGCAACTTTATCCACCCACAGTGCTACAGACACACAAACATTAGGGTAGCCATGCACAAAATTCATGGTGCCATCTACAGGATCTATGATCCATGTTGGATAGTCAGTGAGTTCACATTTGATTCCTGCAGCAGTAGATTCTTCACCAATAAACCTGAAACAGAACAAGGTTATGTTTCTAATTCTGCTTTGAATAACAGATTAATTTTTCAGACTTGCTGTTTACATCACAAATCTATTGTGAATAAATATTTTGAGGTAGTCTGTATGATGATTTGAAGTTCTCATGGCGGTGAGTATGAAGATGGCTGTCTTCTGGGTTATACTGCTGTTTAGTCTGGTAGAAATTTACCAGACTACATGGCGCTAGAACCCTGAAGACGGCAATCTTCAAAGTAATTTCATGTTGGCTGGTGGCATAGCATTTGTGGGGAAAGTGGGCTAAAAATGATTGTCAGAATTTGGTTTATGTCTGTACATCGCATTTAAATATATCAGTAATGATTAATTTCTCTCTGAAAATAATAATCCAAATGTGCAGTTATTCAATAGTATGGGGATAAAATCTTGTTTTAGTAAACCAGTTTCCTAGGAGCCAATGAAAACAGGACAGGTTACATTAAATGTAGTTTATAAAAATCATCATGAAAACATACTTGTGCCCTGGGAACTTTGACTTCAAGCTTGATATAAGTAATTTTTCTACTTCTTGGTCCGTTTCTGTGACCAGGTCCACTTCACAGGATTTAAATTGCACACTCTTTTGACTCCAAATTCTCTCGTGTATTAACTGTAAAGAAGAAAGCAATTAATGAACTTTTAGCCTATAGAGGTGGAAACTAATTTTCCCTAGATTGCAACATATCCAATGTATTCATCATCCAGACTTTGGTAAGAATGGGGAGAAAAATCAGTATTATACATAGGCTTGCACAAATTTCCAATTCATTTGGAATCCACCTCAAGCAGCCACAATATATGTATCAAAACTGGAAATATTTTTGGCATGTGATTATGAAACAAAATACTAATTATTTTTGCATATTAGACCAAAAGCATATTTTAATAGAACATAATACAAATTTGGAAATCTTAAAAAAAAAAAAAAAAACTACCATCAGAATATTCTGCAGAAAACTTTGGGCATATCAAGAAAATTTGTGGTGCCATGGCAACCTGGTGCCTGGGATTTGTGCAGACCTGATTATATGGGATCTGAATTATACTGTATCATTAAAATTCAAAGACAATAATTTCTTCACAATCACAATATATTTTTATTTAAGCATAAAATTGTATACACAAATTGATGGCTGTTCTGTTTCGGATTACAGAAATTTATTGGCTCTACTTTCTGCCCTATAATTTTTTTAAATTAAAATATGTAATTCTTTGCTCCTGCTGGGACAAAGGCCATACATTTCAACCAAAATTAAGATTCCCGTCACATTCAAACAATATGCATGGATAAATCAGAAAATTTGTGTCCCTTAAAGGAAGAGTAAAATTGTTGAAAAACCTAATTTTGAAAATAAAACCCATAGATTAGTAGCAATAATGTACACGGTCGTTATGTTGTATTTCACCAATACAGCTACTGAACCTCCAAACTCGAACTTTTAAAAATCTGGTTATCTTATAATTAGCAACCAAAATCTTGGAATTTCCGATATTTGTGAGCTCTGTAAGTAACTGGGGTGTTTGTTCAGCATAGCATATCAAGCAAAAACATGCAAAAGATTCTATCTAAGATCAAAATAACTCCCTTGAAACCTAAACCCAATCATTCTGCAAGTCATCTGTGATCTGTAGTACGCTCGTTTCGACAGGTCCACCAACCATCGAGCAATAATTTAAAGGTAGCACAAACATTATCTCTCTTTCGAAGTATATATACATATAACTAGATGCAATTTTGTTCACATTTCATGCGCTTACCTGCCCTCCTTTTTTTGATAGTTTCACAATAACGTCGTAACACTCATCTAAATCTTCAGTCATATTTCTTGTGTACGAAGTGCAGGAAAATAAAGAGATCGTTAAACTGTCATTTGTAAAACGTTTCGTGAGAGTTTTCCTTCAGTGCAGTGTTTGTTTATTTCCACTGATATACACATATACAGGATACCTGTGGATATTACGTAAGCGCATGTTGCCAACTGATATTGATGACTGGGCTATATCCCTCAGATTAACGACTGTTGGCATGTGACTATTCTGGCCAAACTTTCTGTACTTGCAGGCTTATCTGTCTCTTACTTCATCGTGCTATTGTATCATCGTTTGAAAGTAACACTATAAACCGGCAATCTAATTTTATTTCACTTAATGTTTTTGTAATAGTTGGACATGTTTTAAAATCAATACTGCCATCTGTTAGGCTTTGGATGTAACTAGGTTCTTCGCAGTTCAGCCTGGTTAATATGGCGGATGTTTCGTGACGCCTATTGGTCTATGAGCAATGACGTCATGTATACAACCAGGAGCGGCATTTCAAACGTGCCCTACTTATAGCTTAATTAATGATAAAAAGCCCGAAGTTGGTGATTGTAGTGAATGTAAACACGTACAAGGAGTGGGGGAGAAATATATGCAAAATGAACACTTGGTTGATAACATTGTTGAGGAATTGGTTATCAACCTAGAGTCATCGGATTCAGACATGAGCGAAGATAATGAAGACATCAGTTTGGAGGGAATACTGACTCTTTTGTCAGATTCAGAGTGAAGCATGGATGTGGACCAGAGGTATAAAAAACAAAACTCAAATTTTTTAGAAAAGTGAATAGTACGCGGCCACGCTGGTTCCCCTCCATTCAGGCTACTGCAGCTGAGGCTGTGCGACTCCCAATACTACTGAACTCCCCCTCTAATTCGAATAAACTGCGCGTGAATTTCACATTTATATAAGGGTATACCATATCGAAAATACTTGGTTCGAGGTAACAATGTCAACATAATCTAAACATAGTCATCAGGTGTTAGGTTTCAAGTCTGCCGATGAGTCGAATGTTTTTGACTCATGCTTCACTTTGCATGTTGTCCTTCCACTCGATTGGCAGCATTGTCAAGGCTACCTCGATCCTTTCATCCTTTTCTGTTTGTTTACAATCGTAACCAAAGTGGCAGTGTTTAGTCGTGCAGTCTGAAGTGGAACTTTCCATTCTTGCCTTGGGTAAGTACATCTTTTCAGAACTAAGGTACAAATCTTCAAACGAATCATCATATTTGTTATGAAAACAGTGACTTCAAAAATATGGTTTGAGAAGTAAAGGTATCTGCAAAGAATTGGTGTGTGGGCGATGTCAAAAATATAGGAAATTGATAGCGATTCTACTTGTCATTCAAAACTCATTTATCTTCAAGAAGTGAACCGCTTGAGTAAAAATACAGTAATTCTTGCCAATAAAACTAAATCTTAAAGCACAAACATAACGTAAAAACGTAGGCCTTTGCATGGAGGTCCTGCTTGCGGTATACTTAAACGTACCTACTTCTGGTGATGAATTTCATGGTGTATGTTCTTTAAAAATGTGAAATGTAGGCTATTTGTTCGCAAAAAATTGTAAAATTGTCAAATTACGGATACGAAAAAATACACCGATCTCATACTGTTTGACGCATAGGATGTTAGTGAATAATGTCATTTCGATGTATAATCTTGAAAATCTGTCGGATATAATAGCTACTTAAGGCTTCTAAGGTAGGCCTAATTCTTGTCTGAAGGAAAAACACATGTTTGCCTTCCTGTTTTATTGAAGATGTTGAAATTAAATTTTTCATTTTGGACTATAATTTTATACAAACGAGTTGTGAGGTATCTCTTCGTATTTTCTTAGAAGACTTTAGAGACATATAATTTTCAGAAACATTGTAATATTCCTTTGATTGCATTTCTTAACCAGTTGGGTAACTGTTAACTTAGGAAGGACTCTACTTAAATTCTGCCTAGATTTTACGATCTGATCACGTAATTAATCAATTAGTTAAATTAAAAATTGTGTCAAATACAACATGTATAATAAGAATTTGAATGATCGTTAGTGTAACAGATGCAACACTTTTCTTCGTCTGCTGATCATTTTTAACTGTTCCTCTGTGAACAGAATGGGGGGGGGGAGAGGGGGATGGATATCAAAATGGAAATAAAGACGAGTAAGAAACATGACTAATATGTTTCTTGATGACTGCAAGGCAATGTGAGAAGGGAATGACTGGAAGTCGTTAGTGAAGACAAAGTGATAGAAGAAGAAGAGATAGAAAGGAATAGGAGATCTTAGTTTTAATGGCGTCGGTAAAGTATCCGCAAAACCGCAAGGGACTTGCTCTTCTATTAGGCTGTACGGGCGGTAGCTCCATTAGAATACAGAAACCTCAGATGTTGCTGCAAATGTATCTTTCAACTTCTTCAGCGTACTGCCTAATCCAACTCGCAGGACTGCAAAGAAGCCAAGAATTGTCAGTCTAGCTGGGCTTTCCTTAACTCGTTGTGGCCTTTATCACCAGTCGTAAGCACTGTTGTCCTTGTTAACGAACGGACCTATTTTCCGTGTCTGTACATAGTAGAAGAAATTGGATGTGTGAAGGAACAGAAAAATGAGATGAATAAGAACTACTTGGACAAAATAGAAGAGAAGAGAGAAAAAGTAGGATGTAATGAATTATAAGAAAATAAGATAAAGTAGGACGTAAAGAAGAAGAAGAAGACTCTCCTGCATAAACACTTCATACAAAAGCGCTGAAACTGGGAAAGTACCCACATCATCTTCCGCCCATAGACCCATTTGACGCTGTTAACAAAGTCTTGACTGCGTGACTATCAATTGGGTTTCGACGTGGCTTACCTTGTTGGAAGAGTTAACAGACAGAAGGAGACTAATCAGCGAGGTTTTCCTGCATGTGGCCAAAGCCCTCGACACTCTGTGGGTCAAAGGTCTCCTTTGCAAACTTTTTATCTGAAACTTCCCATCCTAGTTGAACATCATATCCTCATTTCTTCATTCCCAGACATTTCAAGCACACTTCCAGGCAGTGACACGTCATAGCATGCGATCTGGTGTAGTTCAGGGTGGAATCGTCTTCCCTCGTTTTTTCAGTTTGTATGTAAACGATATTCCTGTACCCTACCGCCACGTAGGGCTAGTAGCGTATGCGGATGGGACGGAGTGATAATTTTCTTGTACTAATTTAATAAGTTTTAGTTTTCTTCGCTAATACTTGTTTCTCAGCGGAAAGATATTGTTAATGTCCGTTTGTTTTATAAGCAGCATTGCTGTCGCGTGTTAATGTTACTTTTTCCGTAACATAGTATACATAAAGCTGTATTTGCGTGTATAATGAGATTCATCTAGTAAAGTACATGAGGCCGGTATTGTGTTTGTAACATGTTAGCCAGAAGCCATTATATAGAAGGTAGTGTTTGAGAACAGTTCTATGGAGTCAACAGATTTTATAAACGTACGACGTTGGACATTATCCATGGTCTGATATTTGTTTGACGTTTCTGGGGTTGGTTGTTGGCCCGGATAATACGTCTGATACGGTTAACATGAATGCTTCTTCTCTGTTCTACTCTCGTCTCCAGCTGATTGGACGTCATTTTATTCGCAAATTATGTCTAACTTACGCCTGATACTACGTAGTAGCGAGGGTTGTAATCAAACTCGAGGCATTCAAATATAGAGCTAGTACCGTACTAGACCACCAGGGTGGCCCAAGAATGATCACTGTTTAGACAATAGCCCATTAGGTTTTCTTCCTGTTCTCTGGGATGTTGCACGTTGTGTTCTGGTGGATATTAACCGACGTTTCAGCGGAGTTTATCACCAGGTAGTCAATATTTAACGGAGTACATGTTGCAACATTTCATGAAATAGCCATCTTCATATTTGTCGCTGTGAGAATCACAATTGTCATTTAACCGCCCTTCAGCGATATCTGAACAAATGTTTCATGGACACATGGTTCGTGCTCAGACCGCAGATAAACAGTGCAGCCTACACCGTCAGGAGAATCAATCTGCAACTGCGAGGGGAAGGTGAAGTCTGTGAGATGTTCCTCAAATTTGTAGTTCGTGATGTCTTGAAATATGTATATGGCATTATGTAGTGGTGGGGTTGGCGTCCCTGTCTTAAGGTGTTCCATTACATCTTCTGAATTTTTCATATCGTGTTCTTTGATACGTATACTATATTATTACCTGGTTTCATCCGCCTTATTTTCGACCGTAAAAGAATAGACAGTAAGTTAAAACAGCCCCGTTTATAAATAGTAAGCTAGTTTGTACATACCTGCCGAAAATTAATCAGTAGGACCTACGTGGACTAAAGTTAAAAAACAAGATTCTTTTACGTTTAGCCTGTATAGTTTATGAGCGTAAGACGTAATGTATTTCGTAAGCAGTTACAAATTTGGTAGGTTCTGTGAGTTTATATGACTAATTATCTTGTGACCGATTTATTCGTCTGAGTACCCACGGCGCATAGAACATCTTACGGGTAAATTAATACTGAAAATTTGAAAACATTGTTATTTTTATATTCAGAAACATTGCTCTCTTCAACAGAGATTGTTTTTTGCTTTTCAGCGACTCATTACAATGCAGGCGTATAGCCTTTCTACTATCTAGACAATCTAAGTCTTATTTGGTCCCTTGTTTCTGTGTTATAAAGTATTTACCTTAGAGATTTCTTGAGTTTGAGCCTATTTGAGAGTAAGGCGTAGAGGGAAATATTTGGACTCGTGAGGGATGGATAAAATTTCGTAACACAGAACTTCATAGTTCTGTAGTCTTTACCAAATATTGATGCTCATTTAAGGACGATGCGTTGGGCGGGGCAGGGCATGTAGCACGCGCAGGAACAAGGCTAAGTGCACACAGAATTTTAGTCTGAAGACCTGGAAGGAAAAAATCTTACGGGGCGCGAGGCATAGATGGGAGGATACTATTAAAATGAATCTTAAATAAATGTGTGAGCCTTGTCTAAATTCATCTAGCGCAAGACTTAGGCTAGTCGATAGCTTTTGTAAACATGCTAATGGATCTTTGGATTCTGTAAGTGATGGGTATTTCTTGATCAGTTTAAGGTCTAGTAGCTGTTTAAGTGTCGTAATTGTCTCTGTAGTTTGTGTCAAGAGAACTTGTGTGCCGTGTTAGTGATAAAGGTGGATGGAGAGCTAAATTAGTTGATGAGTAATTAACTTTATTTATAACCATCTAAAGCAATAGTTGTTATCTATTTATTATTTAAGTAATCTTTAGACTGAATTTATGAAGTTTCTTGTGTCGTGCATGCTCGCAATAATGCATAGTCTATATTAAATTAATCTTCTCTAGGCTATGTATCTTAAATAGATTTTATAAACAACAAAGTAAACTGTACTTTGACTGATAGATGAAGTTCCCGTCTTGCAAGAAGCAAACACTGAACAATTATTACTTATCAATAAATTCAAGTTTTGGGAAACCTATAAAAGATACTTTAGGAAGCCTTTTAAAATTATTGAATTTCCCCCACAATTACAAACAAACTGAGGATATGAAGTTACCTTTTGGAAGCTCCATGTATTTTTTGTTATAGGAATTAGTTATGGTCAGTTTCAGACAAAGAAAGGATTAAATGAAATATGTCTTGGGTTGAAAGTCTCGAAATCCTTAATGTCTAGCGGTACTTAAACGAGTCTTTCCGATCGACTGGTTTCGTCAGGAGTAGAAGGATTTAAGGTTTTAGTATAGATTTGGGCGGAAAGATCATCGCCTTTATGAACATTTACACCCAGTTTATTGACAAGTACGTATCATTTAACTAATTCCATAGAGAAAAGTTCATCTTGAGGAATCAAAAGTTGCTCAACCAGTCAAGAAATTCAAATCCTTTTATGCAATCGAGAGGCTCGCCTTTGGACCCAGTCATGGGCCAGTTGAGCCCAGTGAGCACTCTGTCTCTTTAACAGTATAATACCCAGCTGTTGCTATTCGTGCCACTTGATCTAAAAATCGACAATCTACATTTTCCCCACAAAATGTAGTCTATTTATAGGCTTCGTATGATTCTAAAAATGAATAGCGACTTTCCTTCTTTTCAACGTTAAGCGACTGACTTTTATGATTGAAAAAATGTGTTGTTTTCTTTGAGGCAGGAAATTAATTTTTAAATATTAATACAAAATATTACT